AAATGCCACTTCCCGTGCACCCAGAAGCAAAGTCAGAAGTCACTGGGGACCCTCTGGCATTTGTGCAAAACTCTATGGTTAAACCACAGAGCAGGCAAGTCCAACTTCAAACAGGTAGTGATCTATTTTATTCCGGCCAAAAGTGCCGGTGATCTACCACCATGAAAATAAAGCAAAACTCTTAAACCATAGTTAAACCTTAGAGCAGGCATGTCCAACTTCAAACAGGTAGTGACCTATTTTTTCCGGCCAAAAGTGCCGGTGACCTACCACCATGAAAATAAAGTTTCAAATTCGTTTCAAATGAGATTTTAACCCACGAAAGTTGGGTTCCACCGCGCCCCCCCCCCCATTTATAATGCACCTTCTGTCATTTACTGGTAAGCAAAATAAGCAAAGACAAAACAGAGAGACGAAGATCCAGAAAGAACCGCGGACATTTTTTATTTTTTATTGAGTTACAACTTTCTTTAACTGTCTCGATAACTTTCTTTAACTTTTATCCAGAGTTATTTCTGTTAAATGTCGGTCAAGTATTGATCCAGGCTGATCTCGCGCAATCTTTAAAACTTCGCTCTTGCTCATTCGTGAGACCATTCGTGAGACCAAGTGGGACTGGTGATCTACCTCTGACCCCTCCACGATCTACTGGTAGATCGCGATCGACCTGTTGGACATACCTGCCATAGAGTTCTGTTCAAATGCCAGAGTGTCCCCGGTGTTTGCAGACATGTTGGAAGTCCCTGGAAGTGATGTCCGCTCGTCACCAGCAAGGTACCCTGACACCTGGAAGTCCGTCCCCCGCACCTCTCACCTATTGCCTTTTTGGGATGCTACCCCCGAAAGCCAAGGTTCATCTGTCCATGTTTTTATCCCTCCCGGCCTCCCAAGAGCTCCGAGTGCCTTACACAGTGTGACAAAAATGAGGACCTCATTAAAAGTGATGTTAGAAAGGAATGGGGGGGGGAATCAGTTGAGGGAATCAGTTTAGGAATCAGTTTAGTAGCTCCTGCGAAAGCAGATATGTTCAGAATGGCGACGGAGCGTCAACACAGCAGTTTCCCCGGCACATTCCTTGCCTCAGCCCCTCGCTAACTGGAGGCCTTGTAAAAACAGCCAGTTCTTGCTAGATCGCTGTGCTATAAGGACCTATTGGCTCAAGCTACTACCTCCCAGCCTTTGTCTATTCTGTTTAAAGTAAGTGTAGCCCCTTTTCTGGTAGATTTATAAGGGGAAAGGTGCAGGCTGCACATTTCTGCTTATGACTCTGCAAAGAAAATGGCCAGCGACATTAAAAGGGCTTTACGATCTGCCAGCCAATATCTTCTGATGGTCCCTGGCCCCAGGGACGTCTGTCTTGCCTCAAGAGGGAATTAGATAAGCCCAGGGGTCATTTCCTGCAGGAGCACACAGGAGCGGAGCTCCGGCAGTAAAGAGCCCAGGGGGCGGGCACATGCAACAAGCCCCGCCCCCTGCTCCCAGCAGTCCTCAGTCAGACCAAGAAGCAGCCAGGTAAGCTGCAGAGCCCCCCCCCGGTCCAAAACAGTCCAGTGGCACCTTTAAGACCAAGTTTTATTCAGGTACAAGCTCTCCCTCCTCTGCGAGGACAGATCTGCACGTTCCCCCGCCCCCAATAGCTAGCTATCCAAAACAGTCCAGTGGAGCCTGAGCGGTGGGTGTTGCCTTCTGCCACACTTCTGGTGATATCAGGGGGTGTGGCATATGCAAATAAGTTATGCTAATGAGTTATGCTAATGAGCTCCTGCACCTCTTTTTCTACGAAATGACCCCTGGATAAGCATATTGAGCAGAGGTCCATCAGTGGTTATTAGCCACAAGGTATAGATAGGAACTCTCAGGCTGGGGCAAGTGATGCTCTGTATTCTTGGTGCTGGGGGGGACAACAGTGGGAGGGGTTCGTGTGTCCTGGCCCCACTGCAGGACCTCCTGATGGCGCCTGGTATCTTTGGCCACTGTGTGACACTGGATGGGCCATTGGACTGGATGGGCCATTGGCCTGATCCAACATTGGCTTCTCTTATGTCCTTATGACTAGGGCCGGGGCTTTTTCATGGAATAAGCTCCCACATGAGATCAGGGCCCTGCGAGACCTCTTACAGTTCCCCAGGGCCTGCAAGACGGAGCTCTTCCGCCAGTCTTTTACTTATGGTGGTGGACGTCCCTCCTCTCTACCGGGCCTCCCCTCAGTGGGTCAGATCTGCATTACCATCCAAGGACCAAAACCTGAAAGAGATGGCATCTGCGAGGCTTCAACTATGACTTGTACCAGAGGAATGTCGCTGTATTTTATTGGCGTTTTAACTGTTTTGATTTTTGCGTGCTGTGTATTGTTTATGATGTCTGATTCGAGCCCGTACTGAGCCCGCTATGCGGGGAGCATGGGATCTAAATCCAAGAAAATAAAATAAAAATTTAAAAACCCTGAAAGCTGGGAGCCATTGCTCCGTAGAGCATTATAATGGTACTGTGATCTAGCCATTTTAAAAGCCCCAAAACAATGCTCCCTCTAAGCTGTGGCGTCTTGTGAGCAACAATTCTACTTTGTGAGCTACTGGCATTAAAGGTGTGAGCGAGCGATTTGGCTGCTGCATAAATCCGTTTGCTCTGGAGCCCTCCTTCCTGAGCTGAGATAAAAATCTGTGAGCCAGAGGCTAAAAAACTGTGAGCCAGCTCACACTAACTCAGCTTAGAGGAAACACTGCCCCCAAACATCCTCTGATATGTGGGGGAAGGATGGTGGCCCTGGGGGCTGAGGCAAGGACCATGATGCCATTCCGGGCAGGGCCCCAAACACACACCTCCCTGGCAACACAGTCTCCAAAGTCACTATGATCACTATTAGGGATGGACACAAACCAGGAAAAAGCAGTTTGCTTCGTGGTTCGTGCGGTGCCCGGTTCGCAAACCATGAACCGTCACGAATTTTTAGGAGCCAAACGAACCAGCTCAGTTTGTAAGTTTCGTGACTTGGTAGAACACTCCCCCCCCCCGCTTGCTAGAGATCCCAAACTTGCAGAGCATCTCCGCCTGCCCTCCAAGTTCGGTGAGGGTTGGATTTACAGGGTCCCAGTACAGTGTTCCCTCTAAGCTGAGTTAGTGTGAGCTAGCTCACAGTTTTTTAGCCTCCGGCTCACATATTTTTGTCTTAGCTCTGGAATGATGGCCCCAGAGCAAACTAATTTATGCCGTAGCCAAATCGCTCACTCACAACTTTAATGCCGGCTCACAAAGCAGAATTTTTGTTCACAAGACTCCACAGCTTAGAGGGAACATTGGTCCCAGACCTTAGTCCTGACTCATGACATGCTAACTAACCCCTGAGCTGCACTGCCTCTCTGCCAAAAAGCAGGTTATGTGGTGCAAGTCTGGATGAGACGGATGCTGCTTCCCAATCCCTGATTCACAAATCCAGGGACAAATACGGATGATATTTTAAAAGATCTGCATGCCAAAATAAAATTTGGATGAAGAAATCGTACATCCGCAGACCCAGGGCTCTCTGCCCTGTTCGGGGCACCTCCTTCTTCCCAGGCTGTTGTAAGAATTCCCAAAATAATGTGTACAAAGAACTTTCAACCGTCTCAAGCAGGGATCCCCAACATGGCGCCCCTGGGCGCCACGTTGCCTGGGACACCTTTTTTGGCTCCCACACATCACCTCTGTTCATCTGTTGCCCTGAAAACGCTCTGGGGCCACCAGGAGTTCGCTGTGACTTAACGGCACATTCTGCCACCGCAACCGGCCAGGCGGGAGGGAAGGCAGGACTGATCTCATCAGATCTCAGAAACTAAGCAGTGGTGGTACTTGGAAGAGAGACCACCAAGGAAGGCTCTGCAGAGGAAGGCGATGGCATACCTCCTCTGCTTACTCACTTGCCTCAAAAGCCCCTTGCTGGGGTGGCCATAAGTAGGAAGCTAAGCAGGGTCGGGACTTGGAAGACAGACCAACAAGGAAGGCTCTGCGCAGAGGAAGGCGATGGCCAACCACCTCTGCTTCTCCCTTGTCTTGAAAGCCCCTTGCTGGGATTGCCATAAGTTGGAAGCTAAGCAAGGGCGGTACCTGGATGGAAGAAAACCAAGGAAGACTCTGCAGAGGAAGACAAGGGCAAACCACCTCTGCTTCTCCCTTGCCTCGAAACCCCTTACTGGGGTTGCCATAAGTCTTGGATGAGAGACCACCAAGGAAGGTTCTGCAGAGGAAGGCGTTGTCCAACCACCTCTGCTTCTCCCTCTCCTTGAAAGCCCATTGCTGGGGTTACCATAAGTTGGAAGCTAAGCAGGGTCTGTACTTGGAAGGAAGACTACCAAGGAAGGCTCTGCAGAGGAAGGCAAGGGCAAACCACCTCTGTTTCTCCCTTGCCTTGAAACCCCTTACTAGGGTTGCCATGAGTCTTGGATGAGAGACCACCAAAGAAGGCTCTGGAGAGGAAGGCGTTGTCCAACCACCTCTGCTTCTCCCTTGCCTCGAAAGAACCTTGCTGGGGTCGCCTCAAGTTGGAAGCTCAGCAGGGTTGGTACTTGGATGGGAGACCACCAAGGAAGGCTCTGCAGAGGAAGGCAAGGGCAAACCACCTCTGTTTCTCCCTTGCCTTGAAACCCCTTACTAGGGTTGCCATGAGTCTTGGATGAGAGACCACCAAAGAAGGCTCTGGAGAGGAAGGCGATGGCCAACCACCTCTGCTTCTCCCTTGCCTCGAAAGAACCTTGCTGGGGTCGCCTCAAGTTGGAAGCTCAGCAGGGTTGGTACTTGGATGGGAGACCACCAAGGAAGGCTCTGCAGAGGAAGGCGATGGCCAACCACCTCTGCTTCTCCCTTGCCTTGAAAGCCTCTTGCTGGGGTCACCATAATTCAGTTCTGACCCGATGGCACTTAGGTATATATGTAACAGGCCAGGTTGCAAGACTAGCCTCCTTATCCAGAAAACCTACCCTCGGAGCATCCCTCTGAAGACTGGCTACTCACGCCCTACTTCCAGGCCGCTATGCACCCACCTTCCACAGACACCTCTCGGCAGCGTACCAGGTCCGTCTTGTTCCCCACCAAGATTATGGGGATGTTCTCCGCTTGCCTGGTCCGGCGCAGCTCGATCCGCAACTCTGACGCGCTCTCGAAGCTCCCCCGGTCGGTGATGGAGTAGACGATGACGTAGGCGTTGCCCACCTGCATGCAGTAATTGTGGAACCAGTTGTCCTCCTCCGGCAGCTGCGAGGAGGAGGAAGAGCAACTTTACTTTTTCCCAAAACCACCAAGAACACTGGTGCCCTAGACAACACACGACAGAAGAGCCCCACTGGATCAGACCAGTGAGGGTCTATCTAGTCGCCCTGAGCTTGTTTCGGCCAGGGGGACGGGGTAAAAATCAAATCAATGAATAATTAAATATAGTCCATCATCCCGGTGTCACACAGGGGCCAACCAGTTCCTCTCTGGAGGGCCAACAACAGGGCAGAGAGGCCGAGGCCTTCCCTTGAGAAGAACATCAGAAGAGCCCGGCTGGATCAGAACAGTGAGGGTCCATCTAGTCCAGCATCCCGTCTCACACAGTGGCCAGCCAGTTCCTCTGGAGGACCATCTACAGAGCATAGAAGCCCAGGCCTTCCCCTGATAAGAGCATCAGAAGAGCCCTGCTGGAGCAGACCATTAAGGGTCCACCCGGTCCAGCATCCTGTCTCACACAGTGGCCAACCAGTTCCTCTGGAGGGCCAACAACAGGGCACAGAGGCCGAGGCCTTCATAAGAATTTTATGATGGAACCTGCCCCAAGCCTCCTTGTGGAGAGGGAGGGAGGGAGGGAGGGAGGGAGGGAG